GCGTGTTTGTCTTTTGGCTATGACTCTCTAAGCTGTTACTTACGCTCGGCCATATTACAGGCCTTTGGTAGCTATGCTAGCTTGTTTGATATTTAGGAACCAACTACTTAGAATTTTAAAAGCTTTGGCTATATTTCTTTAGTTAAGCATTAGCTAAGTCTTATTTTTCATTATTTTGAGTTCAAGCCCCAAGTGGAGGCTTTGCTGTATGTCCTGAGACAGGGGCCATCTGTTAAACTCTTATTTTGAGCAATAAAAGTTAGTTAACCCTTCTCAAGTTTATGTATCTGTTCCTGAACTAAAGAGATTATTTGCTTAGCTATTTACTAGGTTCCTCCACATTTAGTTGCGAGATAAAAGAATGGAACCTCACAAATAGATTTCCAGTTTTTGAAAGATGATGATGTTGCAGCTTATAAAATGTAGTCACAGTTTTGCAGTTTACAATTAGAAAACTTGGATAAAGTTATAAAACCAACATGGTTTGACACCCAGTGGAGTTTAATTGGAAAACTGGAAGTTACTGATTGAATTTTAAAGTATAGTGAACTATCTTAAATAATGTTGGTTCTACTGACAATTCTCTGTGGTAGTGGTTCTCAACCTTTTGACTAGCACGTACCATCTAAACAAAAATCTGATGTGTATACCACATGACTTCCTTGTATAAAATAATAAATTATATGTATTTTTTATTGCATTTCATTTTAACTTATTGGATTGAATTAAATGTACTTCGTCGATAGCGCATAAACCACAATAGAATAAATGCACTCTTTAAAATTCACTATATTTGTCTACCATAGCAATACTCTGGCACTAAATTCACTTAACAGTGTTACATATCATTCATATTTATAACGGTAGCTCAGTAAATTGGCAGTTATGTAGCGAAGTGTGCGATCAGAAGATCTTTACTCCCATATATCACTGAAAGTTCATAGCCTCTCAAAAAACGTAAGTTCGTGAAATTCCGAAAATTCGGAGGTACATCTATGACTGGAGCAATAAGATGGCATGTGAAATCGTCATCTTTAAAAGCAGTCTCTTGAGTAGTAGCAATCTCATGGCTAATTTTTATAACTCACAATGCACAAAATTTATAACATCTGAAGAATAATCTAACCGTTGCCACGCATTTTACTAAAATACTATAATAAATATAAAACAAAATATAAAAGAAATTACGTAAACAAAACAAAAAAAGAAAGAAAGAAGCAGTTTTTCATGGACGATTCAGTATTTTTCATTCAATTAATTCACTTCTCGCTTCGTGACAAGGCAAAAATATATATATACTCATATTTTTATTAAAAATTACGAAGAATTAAATCTTGAACACTTATTTCTTCGAATAATAAGGATTCACAATAATAAAAGAAGGCGTTGTCTTTGTTGTTGTGAAGCTTACTTTCTCTAGATCGGCAACAAATATACTATTATGCTAAGTTTCAGTTGTAAAAACAAACATGGCCACCATGGCAAAAATAATTAGGCTTAGCGGCACTTAAACACTTTTAAATTGTTGATAATTTTACAAATATTGCATGTTAAAGGCATAAAAATCTCAACCGGAAGACAACATAATTCATCATTTTTAAAGCAAAAAATGCGCAATTTACAAACATACAAGAATAAAGAAATGGAGATCACTGAGCCGAGTAACAGAGTAGATCTATATATATATGCATATATTTATATACTTTTGATGTGGCCGATTGCAACCAAAATATGAGGTGCATACCTACATGTTATGCAGTCCTATATACAAAATTTAAACGCTCTGAGGCTACTTGTTTTTGAGTTATGCGATATACAGACGCCATGAAGAATTCTCTTCAGAATTCACTTTAAATCAGTTTTATAATTTTTTGTGGGTAAAAGAGTCCTTTATTCTGTCCTTACGTACAGATGTTACGCAAAAAATCGTTAAATTGCGTTCAATAGCGGTGAAAATGGATATTTTCATTGAAATATGATGCCTGAAACTTGCGATTGCAATACTTCGTTTTTACTTCATGCAAGGAAGTAAAGTATTTAAATTTTATATTTGTATTTTAATAAAGTATTAAAGTTAATTCATTAATAAAAGATATATTTTTATAGTTTAGGACATTTTTTTGTTGTTGAGAAAAATCTGCTTTTTGAGTGTCATAGGTTGGCAAGTTTGTGTTTATGAAGGTGCTTCCTAACTGTACTTATTGACACTGGCAAATCGAGATACTGATTGAGTTCTGAAGTCACTCTGGCTGTCTTCAAAAATAAATTAAATTTATTTTTCTGTATGTCATTTTGACATTTTTTTAGTTACTTGTTTGTATATCAAGAGGGGCAATAAATTCAGGCACCACCTGAGCAGCAAAAGTTCTCACTATGTGACTGACCTGTCCAGAGCAAATGAATATAATATTCCTAAAATTTCATCTTCCGCATGCATAAACTACATAATTTATCTATACTGTGATTGGTCTAAAGCACTTTGAAGCCTTGTTCCGTCTCAATGAAGTCAAATGGTTTTTTTCGCAAAGTTGCATACAGAGAAAGATTCCAGTTTTTTTTTAGTCAGTATTGTTCACGCTAAAGTAGATGAGATCCAGTCACCTTAAAATAAGTGGCCTGGATTGAGCAGTAAGTGGAACACAAATACTTGGTACTCAGGTAATACAGTCCTTCCATGTGAAGACTTCAGTCCTGGCAGATGTCTTGTCAAGTAATGTAACCATGGATGCAACATCTCTGGAGGTCGCATGTCAATTCTGCATGACTACTATAGCAATAACCAATCATCAGAAGGGGAAGTAATCCTTGATTAATGGGGCAGAGGTCTCCAGACAAACTATTTGGCTTGTTTGGAATTGTTTCTTCATTTCCAAAATTATCAAATGATCATTGCCAAAGGAAAGAGTGGAATCTCTGAATTTCCTGCTTCAATACATCCAATAACATGCTAGAGCTTGCTATCTTCTGTTCATTTCTTTCAGCCACAGAAAAGTCTTCTTCTTTATAGTAATTCTAAGATGTAAACTTTTTGTAGAGTAAACAGTATCAATCCTTTCCCTACCATCTGATATTTTCCCAAATACTCCAGATTGTAAACAACGTCATCTCTTTCTGTAAGAAAATCAGTGTGGCATTAAAGATACAGTGGAACCTTGAGATATGAGAAATTCGAGATAAGATCGACTCGAGTAGCGAGCCAGGTTGTTGGCATGCGGGGTGTGTTTCTCGTTCTTACTCAACTCTGGAATACCCTCGTCAGATCACTCAGTTTTCTTTGATCTACGTGTTTGTGCGCTTGTGAGTTAATTGTTTATTTACATTTAACATCAAAATAATAATTTCATAATGCCTCCCAAGAAGATTGTTGGCTCAGATAGTGTTGCAAAGAAAAAGAAGAAAGCCATGACCGTTGAAAGTAATAAATGAATCATAGATAAATGTAAGCATGGTGTAAATGTGAAGGAATTGGCGCAGACTTATGGCCATTCAACATCAATGATCTGCACTGTTCTGAAGGAGAAGGAAGAAATTAAGGAACTTGATGAGTTACCATTACTTCCAAGTTCCATCCAAAACTCCTAGAAGATGTTGAAAAGCTGTTGTCAGTGTGGATTAACAAGAAGCAGTTAAAAGGCAATTTGGTGTCAGAAGCTATCATTTGCACTAAGGCTAAGAATCTGTACTTGGATCTTCTCCAAAAAATACCAGGTGTAATTTACCAGTGTTATTTCTTAGGAAAATTGATTTATATGTTGATGTTTTGGGGTGGTGCGGAACGGATTAACTGGATTTCCATTATTTTCAATGGGAAAGTTTGTTTTTAGATACAAGAAATTTGCTAGACGAACTGAATGCTGGAACAAATTAAGCTCATATCTCGAGGTTTCACTGTACTAAAACTTCATTGGTAGTTGCACTGCCAGGCTTCCGTAACAAATTTTTTCCCATGCCTTTGAACCAGCTCAGAACCTGCTCTTTCAGAGTGGGCCTTGCTGTCCTGATCTTTTGTTGCTTTTCAACTGTGTGCAGGAGAAAGTGACTCTTGAGCCCGACCACAAAAGTCATTAGCAAGCTTCTACCATCAAAATTGATGAGAAATAAACATTCTTCTCAGACCAAAAAACCACCAACAATTTCTTTCGTAATGAATAGTCAAAAGTGCACCACTAACCAAACTGTCTCATTCCTTCAATTTAAAAGAGAGTTATATATGCTTAACAGTGTTACACATAACCTTAGGAATATGATCTCTAGTGGCAATTTTGTTGCAGAAATTATTCTATGTTTGAAAAGATTTGCCACCACAGTAAACCAGGTAAGATAACTCTAAAAAGAAACAATATTTTCAAAAGCAGTATGCTGATGAAAGAGGATATGAGTTTAAATCTGGAGATTAAGTTTGGATTTCCAAGCACCTTGTTAACTAAACCTGCTGTTGAACAGAAAATGTTCAAGTTTGTGCTCATCAAAGCAGCCGTTATGCTATTATGACACAATGCCCACCAATTACTTGTGAAATTTCAAGCTCAAGTGCTTCTTTAGTTACATATTATTTCCATGATTCATTATGCCATGACTAAAATACATCATCTGCACCACCTTCATAAAAGAGGATATCCCAAAGGCTTACTGCCAGTTTCTTGTCAGGACAATGTCAAAGCAAGAGGGAAAGGTTGTAACAAACCATAACCTTTCTTCTCTCATTTTGAAGTCAGATGAATTTTCTCTCCTCTCCTAACTTTTGAACTTGGACTATACTGCTACTGGCAAAAAAAAAGTAAAATAAATAAAAACTAGCCAGTGACTCTAGAGATGCTATGGTCTGAGGGTGCACAAAAACAAATTTAAAACTATCTGTCAGTAAGGTACAAAAACAGACTTCATGGATGGGAGTAGTTTCACAATGAATTATTATTTGATTGTTGAATTATTACTTAGAGATTATTATTTGTATTTTGCATTTAAATGTTGTTACACATCATTTTTTATTTGTTTTGAAGGCTGTTGAACAACTGAATCTCAAACCTAAAAACTTTAAAGATCTCCTCACTGATGAACCTTTTACAAGAAATGATATAGTTACTTTACAGGCAAGTATATATTATATGTTAATTAAAATTTTAAGTGAGTTTTATATCTAGAAATAGGCATATGATTTATTATTAACTTCCATTCTTTTTCTTTTTAATTTTTTAGGATCCATCGAATCTTGAAAAGTTTAACTTTCATAATTTCCATCATGTAAAAAACAAAATGGTTATTGGAGATGGTAATTTGGAATTTTAATATTATATTTTAAAATTATCTTACATGTTGGAAAAATTATTTCCTTTTTATTTATTTTATTCTGATGTTTTGTGTAAGTGTGTTTATTTGAATAGCTACAGATGTTATATTGATGTAGATAATTGTTCATAAGACTGCAGCTTGTAAAGAGTGAGAGTTTTTGAAAATTAATAATCTGAATACAATATGTTTTAAAAATATAAATTTTCTTTCCCTGTTAATTAAAATATCAAAAATTTCAAATGTCTTTTGGAATCTAAAGTTGTGTTTTAAACTTAATAAATGTTAGGGTTATAGTTTTAAGTTTTATTTCGTTTTGTGTATTTCTGTTTTACCGAAATTAAAAGTATCTCTCAAACTCTAAAATATTGAGATATATAAAGTAAAAAAAAAAAAAAAAGGAACAAACTTTCATTTGTCAGTATTTGTTACTTTAAAGTACAGGTTGGTCATGAAAGCACTTCCTATTATATAAATCCCTAGAGCCCTATCTTCTCAACCAATCGAAATTAAATTTCAGATATTGTTATTTGAAGGTATGTGCTCAAGATTGTGATGATTTTAAACAATAGAATTCTCGTGGTTACAGTTACTGTGAAAAAATTTTGAAATTTTCGAATGGCAACACCCACCTTTTTCTTTGCACAAATTGATCAACACATGTAGAAACCATTAATGACATTGGAACAATACACATATGACAAACATTACCGGCATAAAACATTAGCAAAGAAGAGCATTGTAAAGGACCAATGATAACATAACAAAGAGGAAAAAATTTTATTGGATTTACAAGTGTTCAGGCTGCCCGTTTTCTCTGACAATAATGTATTGCATGCTAGAAATTGTTGACAATGATGACGAACGAATATTTGCAGGAGGAATCTGTATAATTTCATATTTATAACATCTTTTAGTTCTGACAAATATTGTGGATTTGCAGTATACACTGTAGATGACAGATAACCCCAGAACCAGAAATCCTTCAGAATGAGGTTGTGGGATCGTGGTGGCCACAAAACTGAAATGTTCTGTTGCAACTCTTGCTGGACACATATGGTGATGTGTAGAGGAGCATCATCTTGCATTCATAAAATGTCATTAATGACTGTTTGTTGCTTGAGTTCTGAAATGTTCTTTATACTGAGCACTTGTGAAAGAGCATATTTTCATACCTATGAAAGTGACCTTTTCATTGAAGTACGAACCAAAAACAAATGTTATTAGAAACTCAATATAGCAGAGAGTAGTTACTTCCATGCATGAAAATAAATAACACACAACATACCTGTTAGGAGTTTGGAACATAAGTGTGTTTTATTGTATATGCACAGTTATAGAAGTATACAAACCAGTGGCACCCTCTATGGACCAAGACCATATTTAAAGCTAACCTTTTTACGCTACTATTTTAGGTTTATATCAAGTATCGCTTTGATTAAATGCAATAAGGAATTACTTTAACACTCATACATATAACAAAACATTAAATTATATTTGTCTTCATTTTAAACCTATCATCCTTGCACACATCTCAGGTTTTACACTGTTTACAATTTTTGTCAAAAAATCTGCAGTCATCATTAGTGGTTATATTTTGTGTATCAGTATGTTTAAGTTTCACAGCTTCTCACACAGAATGGTGTTGTGTATCAATATGTTTCAATCTCCCATGATACACACTATTTTTCCTGAGATTAATAGTACTGTTGTTATCCCAGTATATTAATACTGGTTTTGCAGTAGTAAGTCCAAGTTCTGTAACAATTTTGTTGAGCCATATGGCTTCTTCTGTAGCTGCAGAAAGAGCCATATATTTGGCTTTTGTTGTATTAGTTGCAGTGTTAGGTTGGTGCTTACTATACCATGATACTACTTCACCTCTGATGAGGAAAACATATCCAGTGGTTGATTGTCAATCCCCAGCATCACCTCTATAGTTTGAGTCACTGTTACCAAGGATATCAGCATTATAGTCCTTTGAAAAAGACAATGTAGCATCTGTAGCAGTTCGAAGACATCGCATGATGCTCTTGACAACATTTTAGCGACCTTTGTTTGCTGGATTATTGGAGAAATGACTAAGCAAATTCACATCATAAGTTATATCTGGCCATGTTGCTTGAGCTGCAGAAAGAAGACTCCCAATGGCAGCCTGATAAGGAACAGCTAGTTTTTGTTCCTTGCTGGTTGGTAACTGAAGTTTAGATAATTTGATTTTGGTCTAGTGCCGTTTTTACCCCATGAGATTCATGCGTATTATATTTGCAAAGCTTACTTTCTGCATACTGAGTTTGACTAAGGCTAATGAACCCTTTAGTCCTATCTCATTCAATTTTAATCCCTAAGCAATAATTTGCTGGCCCCAAATCTTTTATTTCAAATTTTTCTTTAAGATGCTGTTTTACCCAATTTTTAAGTTCTATGTTATTGCTAAAAAGTCATCAACATAAATAGTGACAATAACTAGTTCTTTATTTCCATTTATTTTAATATAGACACAACTATCAAAAGAGCTTTGCCTCAGTTCAATTTCTATTGAGCCCTTTTCTAACATTTGGTACCATAGTCTCTACCACTCTGCTTTAAACCATCTAATGCTTTGTTTAATTTTAGGACTTTTCTCTTCAAGTTTTGCTTATAAACTTCACTAAAACCATCTGATATGTTCATATAAATATCTTCATTTAGAGTTCTCTGTACAAAAGCCGTTACAGCATCCATTTGGTCAATTTCCCAATCAAATGTAGCTAATAAAACTCTTGATGTTACGTAATGGACAAATGGTGCAAATGTGTCATAAGTCTTGTCCCTCAATCTGAGAATAACCCTTAGCAACTAAATGTGCCTTATATCTTTCAATCTTGCTTACAGAATTAATTTTGAAAACCCATTTACTATCTATGATGTTTGTATCATAAGGTTTATCTGTTATTTTCCATGTTTTGTTTTTAATATAACCTAATATAATCTCACGTATAGAATCCTTTCCCTGGTTCGCATCATTGCCCTTTAATGCTTCATCAATGGTTTTTGGTTCAGAATATAAATCATTTGTTACTGCTGCTAAAGCTTTGACAAAGCATATACGATCTAAATTTGGCATTTGCACTTTTGGCATCCCGTGTGTGTCAAAGTCCTGATAACTTTTCGGGAATTTAATTTTTCTATTTCTGGTCAATATAGAGGCTCATCGACTATATTATTGTTATCATGGCATTACTTTGAGCAGTATTATGTCCATATTGGTAAGATTTAGTACTATCATTTACTAATTCATGATGATCAGATTTAGTACTATCGTTAACCATCCCTTCCAATTCACTATTCTGATCATCTGCTATTGCATTCTCAGTATCTGAAAATGCCATAATCATGCTCGCATTGAATGAGGATTCATTGTAAAATTTTGGCATATAACTTGTCTTTTTAAGGTACATTTTCCAAAAAATGTACATCTTGTGTATTTTTTATTTCATAAGTTTCGCAATCTATTAATCGATATCCTTTTCTATCCTGACAGTATCCAGCAAGTATTAATTTACTAATTCAAAAGTCAAGCAACAAAAATCAGCGTTATATTTTCAAATTTTCACAGGACTAGTTTCGATGGTTTTATCAAACCACCATCCTCAGCTGCAAAAGCGCAAATGAATCCGCCTCGCAAATTATATTCTATATCATTCATTTGCGCTTTTGCAGCTGAGCATGGTGGTTCGGTAAAACCATGGAAACTAGTCCTGTGAAAATTTGAAAATATAACGCTGATTTTTGTTGTTTGACTTCTGAATTAGTATGTGTTCGGCTTGTTATTGTGTCTTAAGTATTAATTTCTTTGCTTTTATATCCCATTTTTTACATTTTTGTTTTGGAATGTGAGCAAATGTATGACATCCAAACACTCTTAAGTATTCTAAATTTGGCTTATACCATTTTTCATAAGGAGTCATACCTGCAACTGCCATAGTTGGAGATTTATTTTTGCTGTGATTTTTCAGTTTGCACTGCTTAAGCCTAATAATTTTGATCAAGGTGAGCATCCACCAACATTGATCATGCTCACTCAACAAGAGTTCTGTTATTACATTCAGCTACACCCATTTGTTCTGATGTAAATGGAATGGATTTTTGATACTGAATTCCATTTGATGTTAAATAGTTATCCATCTCATTGTTTACATACTCAGTACCATTATCAGAACGTAACGACTTTGACTGATTTGCCAGTTTGCCTTTCAATAAATGTTTGAAATACTTTAAATTTTTCAAAGACTTCAGACTTATTTTTTAAAAAATAAACGTGAAAATCATTCATGACAAAAAATCGATAAAACTAATAAAGTAGTGAGAACCACTAATTGATGAAACATTCTTAGGCCCTCACAGGTCACTGTGTACTGTGCCTAGTAACTCTTTTGCATGCTTAGCTTTTCCCTTAAGAAATGGTTGTCTCTGTGTTTTGTCTTTAATACATGATACACAATTTAACAATTTTTAATTAACCTTCAACCATATCTTTTAATCTGATCATTCCTCCTTCACTTAGAAGGCCCATTCTTTTATGTAATAATTCATTTGAAATATTTTGAGTAGTAATTAAAGTCCATTCATTACATAAATCAAGAAAATACAAAAATTGTCTCCCATAACTGTTCCACTAGCAACTAAATGTTTACCAACAAACACAAAACATCTTTCACTTGTAAAAGTAATAAGCATTCCAAATACTTCATTTAAATACTTAATGGGCAGTAAATTGGCTGTTAACATGGGCACATGTAAAACATTAAAGGTTACAGACTCCCTTTTTTTATTTCTAAATAAAAGGAAATTTTACCCTTACCTTCTACTTCTATCACTGAACTTCCTATTTTTATTTGATGAATACTAGCATCCTTATAATCATCTAATAACTTTATGTGAAGTCATGTGGTAAAAAGCACAAGAATCCATGTACCAAATTTTGGGATCTGGATTCAAATT